ATGGATTCGAGTGTTGTTTTTTTTTTGGTAGTATGACATAAACTCTGACTAAAAGCAAACATTTATAGTTTCATTTAATGGCCTAGTGGTTCGGACGAGACAGGCATTAAATCATTTTTAAAGTGCTTGCAAAAATAATTGAATTTGCTAGTGCGAAAATGCTAGCACCATGCTTGTCTTTAGCTTCTAAGGGTACTGTGGATGTTGGCTAGAATGGAAGTGAGGGAAGAGAAATATGAAACAAGAATACGGTGATTTTTTAGAGTCTCACTTTGATCAAATATGGAAAAATTATGTCATATACTCATACCTTTACATTGAGGTATATAACCAAGGTAAAAACTCTGCCGTTCTTTTGGAGCCTCAAATTCCTATACCTATATATTTGGATACTCATATAGTATGTACGTCATTTCTGTATTAAAAATAAACTTTCTCATTCTCTAAGATTTATGCGAATTGTCACAATTTACTCATCTTCCCCCTTTGGATAATTATATTTAAAAATAAAAACAACTATAAACTTTACAGAATAATAAAAGCTGCCTTCCGTCCGATTTCAAGCTTTCGCTGGGATATCAAAAAGTTTATTCATAGTTGAAGTTCTGTGCAGTATTTCTGCTTTAGCTAATCCCCACTGTAGAGCTGCTTTGGTGTCTAGTGATGCAGAAGACAACAGTAAAATGCCTGCAGCCTTCGCAGACGCTTCCTTTACTTCTACTCTTACTCTCCGTCTCCGTTTGTTTTCCCCCCACGCTCTGCCGTCCACGCAGTTAGCAGCGCGGCTGAGCGCTCATTCATGCATCCTGATTTCTATTATATCACACATGCACACGAGAACTGTATGCTGTTGAGTGTGTGCTTGTGTGTGTGGGTGGGTGGGTGGTTGGGTGGTGGTGGGGAGGGGTATAAGTTCACACTTGTACGTGTACGTGTACGCGACCGTGACGGCAACGGCATTGCCAACAGCATCAAATACTAAAACAACAATGACAAAGGCGAATGCCATTGTTGTTGTGCTGTGTGCCCTCTGCCATTGTCGTCGTCGTCACTTAACCCTGTAGTACCAAAGGGGTGAATTGACCTTTTTTAATAACCCCCCCCCCTTTCCCCCCCCTTCGTTTTTCACCTCCTCCCCCGGGGGCAACCGCCCGCCCCCCCCCCTTTTTCCTATTTTAATTCTTCCTCCTTTTTTTCCGGGGCCCCCCCCCGCCCCCCCAACCCAAAAAAAAAAAAAAAACCACCCCCCCCCCCCCTTTTTTTTTACCCCCTCCAAAAATTACCCCCACCCCATTTTTTTTCCCCACAAAAAAACACCAAAAAACCCACAAACCCCCCCCACCCCCCCCCCCCCACCAACCCACCCCTCCCACCTTCCCTTTTTTTTTTTTTTTTTTTTTTTTCTTTTTTTTTTCCTACAACAAAAAACACCAACCCCCCCCCAATTTTTTCCTTTTTTTTTCTTTTTCTTTTTTTTTTTTTTTTTTTTTTTCTTTTTTTTTTTTTTTTTTTTTTTTTTTTTTTTTTTTTTTTTTTTTTTTTTTTTTTAATTTTTTTTAAAACATTAAATAACCCCCACCACCCCCAACCCAACAAAATTCCCTTTTTTTTTTTTAATTTTTTACCAACCCCCTTCCTTCCCCCCCCCCCCTCTTTTTTTCCTTCTTTTTTACCCTTAAATTTTCTAAAAAAATAAAAAAAAAAAAAAAAAAAAAAAAAAAAAAAAAAAAAAAAAAAAAAAAAAAAAAAAAAAAAAAAAACTTCAAAAAAACCCCAAATTAAAAAAAATTCAATAAAATTTTCCCTTAATTTTCCCTTCTTCCTTTTCTTTTCTTTTTTTTTTTTTTTTTTTTTTTTTAAATTTTTTTTTTTTTTTTTTTCTTTTCTAAAAAAATTTTCTCTTTAAAAATTTTCTCCCCCCAACAAATTTAAATTAACCCCCCATCTTAAAAAAAACAAAAACCAACCCTACCCCCCCCCCCACCCCCTTCCCTCCCCCCCCCCCCCCTCTTACTACCCACCCGAATTATAATTTAAAAAAAAAAAAATTAAAAAAAAAAAAAAATTTTTTAAAATTTTTTAAAAATTTAAATTATTTTTTCTTCTTTTTTTTAACTCCCTTTTTTTTTCTTTCTTCCCCCCTTTTCTTTTTTCCCCCCCCCTATTCTTTTCTCCCTTTTTTTTTTTTTTTCTTTTTTAACTTTTTTTTTTTTTTTTTAATTACTTTTTTTTTTTTTTCTTTTTCCCCCCCCCCCCCCCCCCCCCCCCTCCCACTTTTCTTTTTTTTTTCCCTTTTTTTTTTTTTTTTTTATTTTTTTTTTTTTTTTTTTTTTTTTTTTTTTTTTACTTTCTTTTTTTCTCCTATTTTTTTTCCCCTTCCCCCATCCTTTCTTCACCCTTAACTTCGCCGGGGGGGGTTGCGGGGGCGGGCGGGCCCCCAAAATATAGCTCAGCCTCACCTAAATTTTTTTTTTTTTTTTTTTTTTTTTTTTTTTTTTTTTTTTTTTTTTAATTTTTTTTTATTTTATTTTTTTTTTATTTTTTTTTTTTTTTTTTTTTTTTTTTTTTTTTTTTTTTTTTCCCTTTTTTTCCTTTTTTTTTCTTTCTTTTTTTTTTTTCCTCTCTCTCTTTTCTTTCCCCCCCCCCCCCCCCCCCCCCCCCCCCCCCCCCCTCCCCCCCCTTCTTCCTCCCGTCCCGCTTTTTCCCTCTCCCCTCCCCCCCTTACTCCTTTTCCTTTCTTCCCCCCATTTTCTCTTCTTCTTTTTCTTCTCTATTTCCCCCTTTCTTCCGGTGGGTTTCCTTCTTTTTTTTCTCCTTTTTTTTTTTTCTTCTTTTTTTTCCCCTTTCCCTCCTTTTATTCTTTACTCACCCCTCTCTTCTCCTCCCTTCTTTTCCTTTTCTTTTCCGGCCCCCGCGGAATATACAAATTTCAGTAAATATTTTTACACACACAAAAACACATAGAGAGAAAGAGCGAGAAAGTGTGTAAGAGAGGCACCCCATAAGGGGGGGCTGCAATTTCCGCGCATTGCACTCGCTTCGAGCTGTCGGGCCCATGTCATGGATGCACGACTTTCCTTCCTTCCCGCCCCCACACATCCCACTCCCTTGATTTCACAGCAATGGCTGTTCCTTCAGTGCCGCCGCCTCTGCGGCCGCCTCCTTCTGCAACAATTCGTTCAATTTCATGCAATCAAGTTATTTTAATTCATTACCCTTACGCGACCAACACTTGGGAGACATGCACAAACACGTCACTGCACTGCACGCAAACCCACACTTACTTGCATATATACATAGATATGTATGTTTTGTAAGAACAGTTACTCCTCTTAGGCAATCCTCTTGCCACCACCAGGGAGAGAAACTTATGTTTGTTGTGGAGTTTTACGATAGTTGCTTTGGGTTTGTTTATAAACATATGGGAATATATATTGTATATAATTATTTTTTAGTCATTACCTATGGGTTTCAAAAAATGTATTACAATAATTTACGAGGAACATAATATTTGTATCATATGGAAACTGGGATGGATTCTGTCTTCCATCAACCAGAGGTCTGTGGAATGAATGAATGGCTTCTCTTGAGCCTTCGATAGTTTCCTTTATCTTTGTTTAGATACGAAAGAGAATGGGAATTTCCCTCAATGATTTTTAATAGTATATTTCTATACCACCTGGTGGCATTTTCTCTAAGGTGCCCACCCACAAAAGCATCGAGAAACCTTCGAGAACGAATGCGCATTCTCTTGTAAGTTTGTCTGGTGTGTCTGTCTTAATGGCTGTCCTTCTGCATGTGCATTTTGCCATGCGACACTTGACATTACAAAAAAGCTGCAATATATGTGTGTGTATGTGTGAATGTAATATAAATACATGCAAATAACTGCACACAGATACACCCACATACATACATACATATCTGTGGAAAGACTCACGCACGACTATCAAAATGTCAGACATCTGTCATTTAATTTAATTTGACTTCACTTTTCTTTCGTTTGCCCTCCCTCCCCCTGCCTTTGCACTCCTTCACACTGACTTGTGCCAGTGCCGTGCCTTGCCTTGCCTTGGCATTCTTTTTTTACGCTTTCTTTTACTCGTTCTCTGTCTCTTTCGCTTTTCCTTCCTTTTTTGCACCATAGCGCGAGAGGCGTCGACGCCTGAGCACAAAACGTGTAATTTAGAGGGTGGTGCGATACAGACAGAGAGAGAGAGAGAGTGAGAGAGAGACAGAGGGAGTATTCCTTCAGGCTGCTGTTATTACTTAGTTGGTTGTTGTTTCTGTCGTTGTTGTTCTCATTCGCGTTCCCTTTCGCGTACTCCTTGCTGCTGTTGTTGTTGTAGCGCAACGTACGCGAGCTCAATTTAAAACGTTTTGCGTTTGCTGTGGAAACGGTAAAGGGAGAACCAACTAGAAAGGAGAGCGAAGCGAAGCATCGATCAAGGAATACCCTTGAAAGGGGAATTGGTGTAAACTTTTTTCGGGAATTGAAGATGAATGGTTCAATGGGTGTAATGCATGTGGGAAATGCTATGAACATTGACATACATATGTAGTACATACATACATGCATATGTATGAATGAATGAATCAGAGCGAATCTGTGTAAGATTAATTTCAATGGATGCGTTCGTGTATGAATGAATTAATGCATCATGCATGAATAGTAAATTAATGAAAAATTCATGAATTAACAAATGCATAATGGGTTTTTTTCATTGTGTATCATGATGTTGAGGGAAAGTACTAAGAACACATCCCAACTTCAATAACCCACCCATATACCCCTGCCATTTGGAGGGCATCTCGGAAAACAACTTGACTTGATTTGCATAGGAAATTTTATTTCTTTGAGCTCTAAGCTAAGTTAAACTATGGAAAGGCACACATCATTTACGTTAAGCTAAAACTAATTAAACTTGTACTCCGCCCAGTGGAAAGGGGGAAGGGAAAACTACAGATAAATGAGGGGGGAATGGGGCATCCCCGAGACGTCAGCTTCGTTTCTCCTGTTGCCTGGCAATGGCTTTGAGCTGCTTGTTGCGATGCTTCAGCTTCTGCTGGAGCGTTCGCTTGAACTGCGTCTCTCTGTTGAGGATCTCCAGATCCTCGCTGGTGCAGGAGCCCAACCGTTGCTTCTGCTTGGCTATCAGTTCCTTTGTCAGCTGAATTTTGGTCTTGGAAACCTTAGTGTATAGCATCTGGCGGCGTTGCAACTCCTGACGGTGCAAGAACAGAGCGTAGGCGGTACCGCTCGATGATGCCATGCTGCTGGTTGACTGTTGAATGTCTGCCATGTCCGGAGTGGCATGCGTTTTTAAAGGACTGGGCCATGTCCTGTTTCTGGCCTTTCCTGGGCTTAGGCCATCCATGTGTTATGCATGCATGGACTTGTTTATCTTTTTTTGCCCGTCTCCCTGGCCCTGGCCCACTGGCTGTGATTTTTCCTTGCTGGCCAATCCTTTGGGGTGTCGTTACCTGAGTGCTGCCTGCTGCCTGCCGCCTGCCCGCCGCCTCTGCCCGTCGACTTAGCGTCCCACGCAGGTAACGGATGGTTTATCTGTTTCCGCGTTTCAGGCCAAACTTTTCCACACACGCACACACACACACACACACCTACATACGTGTTGTTCCATTAATGCACTTTGGGCCAAAATCCTTGGCATATGGCGATGCGGGGTTTCCTTTCCGCCACACCACAGAAAAGTTAGGTAAACTTTGCCGCTCGACTGACCCCATAAAGAGAAAGAGAAGACACTCTGGTACACACACAAACACACACACACGCATAGAAGGGCGAAAGAGGGCGGAAACATCTAGCCAACTTCTCGGCCAAAAATCCAATGCAATTTTTAAGGCCATCCATCCATCCAGACAGCCTTTGGCCAGCACCCTGCGACCCACTCAACGACAGGATAGCACGCACGTCCTGCCCAGGCCCCTGGCATATGCATCAATAATTTTGTGCCAGCATACGACTTGACCTGGACCCAGGACCCAGGGATCTCGACCACACCCACACTCCGCACTCCCCACTCTCTCTCTCTCTCGTTCTCTGAGGTTTATTAATTTGCATGAACTCTGGGTCCGACCATGGCGCTCATTTTTCATGCTGCCAGGGCAACCGAAAGCCACAATTAAAAATTGCTTATGAACGGAAATGGCAGAAAAATGAAGAAAAAGAGAGTAGTAGATCCCGGCGCCCAGAGATGATGCTTCTTCCACTAATGATGGAATCGAGCCAAAACTTCTGGACGAAGGCACAGTCCCTGACTAAGCCATAAGCTAGAAAACCCCGCAAAGTTTTCTCTGGAGGCAAACTTAATTTCCTATTTCCTTTTTAGTTTCCGCTTGGCTATATCCAAACCCCATCCCATTCCCCAGCCCAGCCCAATCTCCTTTCTTTTGGCCATTTAGTGTAAACTGTGCGCATCATTATTTTGAAATTTTTGACACTTTTTTCGCTTGATGGTTGGGTGCTAAGCTACTTGTAAATCAACTTTGCAGCTCATGTGTCTCCTCCTCCTCTCCACAGCAAGAGTTTTCTTCTTTTACCAGTGTGTGTGTGTGTGTGTGCGTCTGTGTGTGTCACATTTCCGGCGGAAGTGTAAGCAGAAAAGTTCGTTTCGTTTCATTCTCGTTTACGCTAAATGCCATCAAGAAATGCAGCGTCGTCGCTTCATTCTCAGCGCCCAGCTCCAGAGAGAGAGAGAGAGAGAGCAGAGACATCCAGCAGCCAGCAGCCAGAGCGAAGCTGAAGGAGCCAAAGACATTGACTGATGATGATGAGGCACGATGATGTAAATGGGATTTTAGTGCTGGGCCACACCCCCGCCACATGACAATAGTAAACTTCTTCTTTGTTGCTCCCAATCATAAGCTGTGATAGCTCTGTTCCGCTTCGGTCTCGGGTTTTCCTCACTTGCGACAAGGCACGTAAATTGCCTCGCCAAATTTATTGTGCAATTACAAGGGAATCTAATGAATAGCCCAACAAGGAAACGAAGGGAAAACAGACAAATGAATGGGTGGGAGGCCAGCGGCAGAGCCACTAAATTTGTGGAGCTGTCTGCAGCAATGTTGGGCTAGAATTAAGAGCTTTAGTTACACCTACTAACTGTATTTTGTCTTTTGCATTCTCTTGCAGTTACCTACAACAATAACAGATACTTATGATGGGACACCGACACCCCCTAGTCGTCCTAGTGCTGCTCTGCTACCTCTGCATCGGCGCCCACGCCTTTAGTCTGCCCAACATCACAGCGTCAGAGGCGGCCGCTATCGGAGGCTTGATATTGCCTCCGCTCGTGGTGGGGCCCAGCGGCAGCAGCATCAGTGGCAGCAACAGCAGCCTGATCGGCGGCGGTGGCGGCCTGGCAGTGGGCAATCCGGGCGGACAGTCCACGGCTGAAACGGGAGGAGGAGCCACCAGCCTGGGAGGCAACCAAATGGGTGGCAGCAGCGGCGGGAGCGGCAGCAGCAGTAGCGGCGGCATCATCGGCAGCGGCAACAACTCGGCCATGGTGCAAGGTGCGCCCAAGGAGAAGCTGTACGAGAAGTGTACGGGTCCCGGTGATCCGGGGCCATGCAAGCAGTACATCTACAAGTGGCGCTACGAGCCGACATCCAACGAGTGCGCCAACTTCATTTGGGGCGGCTGCGATGGCAATCCACAGAATCGTTTCAGCACCGAGGCAGAGTGCCTCTTCCACTGCATTGGAGGACCGCGTAAGGGAGCTAACGATACAGGAAAGGAGGAGGAGGAGTGAGAGAAAGACACATTGTGTTAAATAGATTATATAAGAAATCTGATTGATGATTTTAATTGCCTTAATCGAGATTTATGTATTCCAATCGGATCGGTATACAATTCTCTCTCTCTCTGCTCTCTGCTCTCCTGATTCCTCCGCCACATTTTCTCTCTATTGACAACCTTGACAATCTCTTTTGCAGACACCTTGCCACCATTCCTGCAGTCCACCACTCGCGAGCCCAGCACCACAGAGAATTCGCAGCTCATTGGATCAGTGTACACCCAGAGTCCGGCACAGGCCGCACAGGATGAGGATGGGAGAACGGGAGATGGCACCACCCCAGTGCCCATTGAGCAGCGCGGCCCAGAGCTGACGTTCGCGGAGACGGGCCAAGGCAAAACTTTCGTTTTTGCCAAAGAACAACACGTTCATCCAAATGGACGGCGACATCATACAGACATTTCAATTAAGGTGAGTGGGTGCACGGCACCCCACCACCCACAGTCCACGACCCACCGCTCGTTCGGGTCATCCCCCATAACTCCTTTGCATATTTCACTCTTTGTCCACGTTGCATGCACCATCAGCGCGTCATTTGGCGGATTGTTGGACTTTTGGCTCAAATTTTGGCTGGATTTCGCTTAACCCTAGGAGGGCAGCGAGGGCAGGATTGGGGAGTTATTTAAAGCAAGACCTTTGAAGGGTTTACTTATTGTAGTCATTTCTTATACAATTGTCTGTGATCTGAGCAGCTGGAAACTATACACCCGAGATCAAATTCTATGATTCCAGAGATATTTACAAGCCTCAAAGATTAATTCTTCCAAGTAATATTTACTACAAATGAATTCCCATTGCTTTGCATTCCAAAAAATTAATTTTTAACCCTTAAAGAATATTTTCTTAGTGACAACCCAACAAAACGTAATAAATCTCCTCACTCTGTAGGGTTAAAACGTTGTCCATGAGCGCATGTTGCAAGTGCAATTAGCCAAAAACTGACATAGTTTCTGAAATTGATTTTATGCTTGATGGACAAAAGGGTCGCCTTATCGATGGAGCCAAACAAACACACACTCATGAAACATTTTGAGGGGATCAAAAAGAGTGCCCCCCAAAAGCGGTGCCGGGCGAAAGTTAATTTTCTGCTCAATTGCAGATGGAGCGACCTTTGCTCTCTGCTCCCAGGAAAATGACTTTCTGGCTTCTTTGCGGCAGACAAGAGAATTTAAAATTCAATTTGGGACCCAAAACATTTGTGACATTTGCATATTAAATTAAGATAAAAAATATTATTTAAATGTGGCACATAGAAGAGGAGCCATGCCACATGCCACATTGGACGAACATGCAGACAGGAGGCAAATAAAATTAAACATGACTTGGGCCAAAATACGTAGCACTGGCTTTTGTTATCGTTGTTGGTGCGGCTGCTGCTGTGGCTGTGGCTGTTGTTGCTTTTGGCCAATGGCTACTGCAAGTACTTGGCCATGTTGGCAATTTGTGTTGTAGTTTTAATTGTAACTCATGTTGCTCCCAGCAGACAGGAGAAACAGCAGCAGCAGGAGCAAGAGGTGCAGCAGCAACATCAGGACGGACTAAAAGCATTCAAGAGCAAAGAACAAATAAATTTAAAACTCTGTCAGGCGCACACAGACCATCATCATTCCGTTCCCTCTTTCCTTCACACACACACACACACACACACACGTACATATGCTAATGCAACAATTGCCTCTCTCTTTCTCTCTATATTTCTCCACAGACTTTGCCGTGAGATTTCATTTCAATTCCGTACTCGACTGCCGCACGGCCTGCTCGTCTATCACAACGTTAAGAATCCGGATCGCATTAATTTGGACCCCTATGCACTCTATGTGATTGTGGAGAAGGGCCAACTGAAGGTGGTCCATGTCTTTGGCAAGCATTCAACGAGTGTCACTGTGGGCGAGAGCCTGAATCGAGATGAATGGCATAGTGTGATGGTGAGTCAACCACACCCAACCCCACCCCCAGCCCCACCGAAAAACCAGGTCAAGTCTGGGGGGAGAATATCATTTGCCTGGAAAACTATGAATGCAATGCAGTTCCTGTTGCACGCGTCGCACCACCCAAGAGGTAGCTGTGACCATATGAGCAGTTAAGCTCTTTATGAGAGTGTCAGGGTATCCAGGAATCGTGTGAATGATGCTGCTGCTGGCTACTGCTGCCTGTTGGCCAACATTAACATGGCCATGCGTTCAGCAAGCAATTAGCAAGATTGCAATGCGGAATGTGTGTTTCCCCCCCACTCCCTGTATGCTGGACTCTTCTCTCTCTCTCTCTCTGTAGTCTCTGTGCGTGTGTGTATGTAAAACGCTTTATCAAACTTTTATAACAAAGCGAGCAAGTTGATTTATGTACGCTCCAACTTTGTTAACTCACCTCGGACATGGGGAATGATGGGAGGTATCCTACAGCCACCACACACACACACACACACACACACACACACCGTAACCCTGAAGCATCGTCAGCATCATCATCATCAATAACAGTGGCAA